GGCGTCCAAGGAGGGGGAAGTAAAACCCCAGGCAGTGGAGGGCAGGGCTGCCGGGGCTCGGAGGCCTCAGGAGTCAGGAGAGGAGGATCTGGGGAGCAGCCGGGTGGGCTGGGCCTGGGGGGGAGGCAGAGGACGGGGCCCCCCAAGCCATGTGACATCATCGGCTCCGACAGTGGCGCAGACGGCGGCCCCCTGGCAAGGCTTCCTGCCCTCCAGAGATGCTGTGGTCCAGGACACCGTGTCTAAGCACCTCGGCTTCCTCCTGTCCTTTCTCCCACAGATTTTCTGTGGTTGCTTCTGGAGTAGAGAGATGAGTTGGAAGCCGTTGGCCCCGAGTGGAGGAGATGAGCAGGGCCAGCCAGGCAGCGAGGTGGGTACAAGGTTTGAAGCATCTCCCAGGGACAGGAGAAAAGACGCCACAGGGAAAAGAAACTAGAAGGTACGTATTCACGCACCTGGGGTGTGAGAGGTCCATGCACACTGTGTGTTCATTAATCCTTGTATTTATGTAGTTGGTACTTACTGAACACTTACTGTGTGCTCTGTGTTAGACCTTGAAGTTTCAGGCAAAAGACAGATGAGACCAAGTATTGTATTCTAATAGCTACAAGAAATAATTTTATGTTAAGAAACGTAATGAAGAAAACAATAGGATGTTTCAGAGGTCAGTGCAGGGCACAGAGACACCCACCATAGATGGGGGAAGGTGGCCTGAGAAGGTGACACTGAAGGACATCTGGCTTCTGCTCAGTCCCCTCCCTGGAGCTCTGGGCTCTGAGGAACAGCCACATTCTTTTATCTCCCAGCCCATTCCATCCCCAGGTCCTGCTTCTCTTGCGCGGATCTGCCCCTGCCTCCCTCAGTCTTCCTGGGAAGAGTCTGTGGCTATGCTATCTTTGAAAAGATGTGAAGAGCCTGTGTGGGAGGAGCTGGGGAGAGAGCAGCAAGTGCAAAGGCCCTGGGGCTAGAAAAGACCTTCTTGTAGTGAAGACAGAAAAGAGAAAAAGGCACGGCCAGCCCAAGGTGACCCTGAAAGGAGGGAGCCAGATTAACCAGCACCCCAACCACAACAACCCCAACCTCCTGTTGGGGCTCCCTATTGGGTCACAGACCCAAAGCCACAGGCAAAGCAACTCCCATGGTGTGGGTCACCCAGTCAGCCTCGAAGGTCACAGAACAAGGGCAGGTAGGAGAATGGCTCTGGGGTCTGTGGAAGACTCCTGATTCCCAGGTTGGCTTTGAGGGATCAAGTTATACGTCTGCTTAGAAATTGCCTGAGCCCTTGCGCAGATTAGAGGGTCTGGTCGACCCCGCTGGCCTCAGAGCTAACAGACAGCAGGACAGGCAGGCAGCCAGGCCAGGACCCCACGGCTCTCCCATCATCTGCAGCTTCCTGCCAAAACCGATGGCCCTTTGAGCTTCCCCTGCTCCTGCCTGAGTCCAGAAAACTTGGCCAGGATGGGGCTTGAAGCATCAACCTAGGGAGGGCCGCAGGCTGGGCCAGGCACCGGCTTAGCCTGCCCAGCCCTGCGTGGAGGAGCCCCAGGCCCTCTGTTCGAATCCTACCTCCACCCCTTAGGCTGTGTGGCTCTGAGAGTCCTCTCTCTCCAAGGCCTCAGAGAAACGAGCTTTCTAACCACGGGATCTGAGCTCTTCTTGCAAACCAGAGGCTCTGCCAGCTGCCCTGAGCAGAGACAGGAATGGATTCGTGGGGGTCCAGGCCTCTGAGCTCTCAGGGGACCGGAGGCACCACAGGCATCAGCGGCAAACCCAATGCTGGGGACAGGGCTGTCGTGGCCCCCACCGTGAGCACAGACACCCTAGCTCGCACCCTGACCTGGGCCCTGGGGTCACAGCCTCCGTCCCCTCCTCTGTGTGGGGCTTTCATGTGACCTCAGTCTGGTCAGTAAGATCAATGGGGCCACTATGGGCGGCTGAGCATCAGCCCGGGGCTTTGCCAGACCCAGCCTCTGCTGGGCTCTCTGGTGCTGAGTGAAAGCCAGGAGTAGCCGGGACCCACTGTGCCCCTGCCTAGAGGAGCCTGACAGCAAAACCAACTCGGGTGGGCGGGGCTGTGAGATGGAGCGAGGCATAAGAGCCCCTAGGTGTAGCCAGGCCTGCAGCCAGCTTTTCACTGTGTAAAAGTGAGCCAGGCATTGTTCGTCTCCTCGTTCTCCGTTTTGCTTTAGTCCCTGATTTGGAATCTGGCATTTGCAACTAAAATACCCGGAAAGTCAGGGAAACACCTGGCTGGTTGCAGGTGTGTCATGAATTCCAACAGTCAGAGCCTTGCAGGAGGTGACAGTCCCATGCCTTTCCCACCAATGTCCCTCAGGTGCCAAAATTCTGCTGTCTTTGACTTGTGGGGTCCAGGTCAGGGTCTGGGCTCTGCCCTGCCCAGTCTCCTCTCCTCTTGCCCCCTGGAGGTGACAGGACGCCCTCCCTAGGAGCCCAGTTCCAGTGTGATTGTCATCATCCAGGTGACTTGTGAAGGGACAGAGTGCCAGAGCATGTCACCCACTGGCCCAAGGTCACACAGCGATGAAGGGAGAAAGTGGGGACTTGAACCCAGGCAGCTGCACTCCAGAGCCCACTGCACTGGTCTAACCCTCCCTGAGCTGTCCCCAAAGTGAACTGAGCATTCACATCTCAGGCGCTTGACGTTCACCATCTCATTTTGTCCTCCATCGGTTCTGCAAGATGTCGTTCTCATTTCAAGGACAAGGGACCCCAAAGCTCTGAGAATGGAATGGGCCCGGTCTCTCCCTGGAGTCCACAGTCTGAGCCACTCACGGTGAGGTGGGGGACAGGCCAGCCTGCGATCTCAAACCTGGCCGATGGGTGACGAGGATGAAAAGAGACACAGAATCACGTTAAAATCTGGAGGGCTGGGGGCTCGTGGCTCCCTTCGACACAGAGCCCCAAGTGACTGGTGCGCCTCAACTTTAGTCACTCAGACACAGGTGCAAGCAGTCAGGGTCCCACAGGGTTCATCCGTCCCCCCCCCTCCATGGCACTTCTCCAGGGAAACAGCTTAGCCTCAGGTGTCTGCGCTTCTGCGTGAAGCGTGTCAGCACGCTTTCCTCTTAGCGCTCCCCTAGGAGGCCGGTGAGGCTTCGTTCTTCCCCTCTCGTCTCCCACAGGAGCAGGAGAACAAGATTGCTAGAAATGGGGTCAGGGTTCAGGGCCACACCATCCTGGCCCCACAGGGGCAGGGCTTGCGATGACTTTGTCCAGGATTGCCTGGGTTGTGGGTGCTGGATTGCCAACTTGGGGGGCCTGGCGCAGGAATTCTCATTGTAGGTGGCCCTGCCCCCAGGGTGTGTTTTGAGGAGGGTGAGACATTTGGGTCATTATAAAAACTGGGTGCCCCTGAGGAGCCATGGGTGGGTTCCAGGGGCACCTTGCTTCAGGTCATCTGCACTTCCTGTGTGTCTGTGCACCCCGACATCCACTGTCCCCTGCATTTACAAGTGGACACTGAGATTTACATGCAGAAAACACTTGATGGGGTAAATAGAGATACGGCATGAGCTCTCTGTCGCAGTTAGGACCTCACCGACTTTCCTAACATGAAGTGCAGCAAGGTTGGATTTTCTGTGCACGTCATTTCTGATCGGCCCTGGAGATGCTAAGCAGCGGCTCACCTTTGCAGCCTGCTGGGGCAGGACTGGAACTGGACTCTGTGCCTCGAGTGTGTCCTCCTCAGCCCTGTGACTCGCCGATGACCCTGTCCATCCTGCCAGCTGGGCCTTCTGCAAGGAGATTAATTTCTCCATGCATCTCAGGGGCTCATCCAAGTGACCCCAGGCGTGGCCACCAATTAACCACTTTCCCCAAGGAAGGTGAGGTGAGCAGAGCCGTTTATCCTTCAGGGCAGCTTGTGCCCGAGGGGTCTGGGAGAGCAGCGGTGGGGACAGTTCCTGGTGAGAGATGAGACCCAGCCCATCGCTCAAGTGTGACAGGAAGGCAATGAGAATTCCTCCAAGCTTCATCTTGGTAGCATGGGAGAAGCTGCTTAGGGCGTGGACTCCAGACCAGAAGTCTGGTTTGCATCCCCCTCCTCCTTGCAGGACAGTTTGGTCAACTTTACTTGAAAATGCTGTGCCTCCATTTCCTCATCCAGGAAACAGGGGATAATAGAATCTCACTGTGACTGAGGGGTTAGAAACATTTTTGTCATAACAGCACTCAGATCTGCAGTGTTAACTATTGTCTTTTTTTTTTTTTTTTGAGTCCCTATTCTACACAACCAATAGAAACTTGGCCTCCCATCATTCAGCGCTGATGCTTCCCCTTTTCTGAGCTTTGTCTGGTACCAGTGACAGCAGGGACTGACGTGGTCCTCCGGCAGCATCTCCTTTGAGCTGCCACTCACTTGTCACGCATTCTCCAGCCGAGATCATGGGTATCATCAGCTCAAGTGGTTGCCATGGAGATGCTCCTTGTGCCGGTCCCATGGCCCTCCCAGCCCAGCTGTTCTCTGCCACTTCTGCCCACATGGAAATCACCCCCAGCTCCCGCGCCACACAGAGCGAACACTGCCAACCCTGCGGAACTGGCAGCCCCGGGCAGGGCTACACATTTGAGGGGCCAGGCAAGGGACCCAAAAGGGTAGATGGCCCAGATGGCACTTGAAGGCAAGTGCTTCGTGAAGGGGTGGCTGCTCTTGTTTGACCGGTAGCTGTGTAAGGGAAATGAGACCTCAACTATGGAGCTCAATTCTTTGCTTCTGAAAGAAGCTGGTGTGTGTGTGTGTGTGTGTGTGTGTGTGTGTGTGTTTAATATATATGAAATCTGGTTTCCAAATATTGGCAAAAGTATATTTAAAAGGCACCGTGTGGCCAAACATAAAATGCTGCAGGTCTGAATGTGTCCTCCTTGGGGTATCCTTACGGCCTTCTGCTTCTTTAGGCCTCTGGCTCTCCTGTGCTCAAAGTCACACCACCTTTGGGGACTCTGGCCTCCTCCCCTGGGCACTAGGCAGAGGGGACTCAAGTCACTCTCCCCCAGGTCCCCGCATCACATATGGGCCCTGGAGAGAACAGCCCTAGGCACCAGCCCTCCTGGGTCTGCAGGTCTTGGCACTACTGTTACCCAGAGCTCCTCTCTGAGCCTCTTTTGGAGGCCTGGGTCCACTGACCAGCCAGGACACCCAGGAAGCCAGGTCCTAGGTGTCCCTGCCTCGCACAGCCCTTGTTCTGGGAGCCCCTGGGCCAGGGAGCTCCAGCTGACCAGCCCAGCAGGCAATGGGAGTTTGTGCTGTCTGGATTTTCCATGAGAGCACTTGACCCTTGGGCCCAGGAGCCTGTGCTCGCAGGGCCAGCAGAGTATCCCAGGGCCTCCACAGGAGGCAAAGCTTGGGCACAGGACCCCAGGTTGTGCTCTGCCACCATCTTGGCCCTAAAAGCTGGCTTCTTGGGTTTCAACCTCTGATGCAGATCACTAACAGGAGCGCTGTTTACTCTCTGGGCCTTACACATACCTGGGCACCCTGCAGAATCTGCCCCATAAGGCAGTGGCCCCATCCCCAGCTCCCCTTGCTTGTCAGTGACCTCAGTGGCCTTTGTGATGGTGACTGTACCTGCACTGAGCTGTCTGCTCACGGAGCCTGCTCCATCTTCCCAACCCTGCCAGGCACTGTCCCCGCATAAGGACACACGGGCCCAGGCTCAGTGACGGGTGAGCCCTGGATCTCATCAGGCTAAGGCTGTGGTCACGCGATGAGGATCCCTCCCTCTCTATTGTCCAAAGCCCCAGACCTGTCTGAAGCATTCCCAGGGGCTTGAGGTCACGGGGCTCTGGCCCTTGTCTGTGACTGACCAGTAGGCATAAATGGTGAGTCTTGGGCAGAAAAGGTCCACGATGTTGGAGGAGGAGGAGAGAAAAGGAGAGGGAAGATGGGGGATGGAGGAGAGCCTAGAGGAGAAAACGGCCTACAAACCCAGAACAGTACCTCACCCTGCCCCTCCACTCCAGTCCCTCCTCCTGCCCCTGCCCATGTCCCACTTCCAGGCCTCCTGGTCCAGCCTCATCACACACTGGACCACTGAGAATCTTCCTCCTGGGCTCCTACTGGCAGGTACGGCTCCTCTGGCACCTACAACACAAAACCTTGGCTGGAAAATCGGCAACACATCCATAGCTCCTCCAAAAGAGACCACACCCTGTGATCCAGGACTGTAAATGGCACAGCCGTCTCTAGACAGTGGCCATGAAGTAAAACTCCTACTGTTCCTGATGGTAAGCACAGGACAGGAACTGAGGGGTCAGCAGCAGAGCAAGTAGCCAGGATGGGACTGGAACTTTGGGGGCACCAAGGGCCCCCTCATTCCAAAGTGACTGAGCCCAGACTTGCTGCAGGGAGTTGAATCTGGAAACAGCCCTCAGAGGGCAGCAGGTCCTCTGTGAGCTCAGAGTGCTCAGCTGCCTGCCCAGGGCCCTGCACAAGCTGAATCCACTCTCTGGCCCCTGACCAGCTCTGACTCTGATCCTCCCTGGTGGCCAGGTCCCAGGGTGCTCTGGGTCTGGGTGTCCTGGGCTGCGCCCGCCCCCAGAGCTCTGCGATGGCTGACTAGGAAGGGACCTCAGCCTTCCTCCTGGGTCCTCTTCTCCCACAACCTCCCGATTTCTAATGAGCAGGGGAAGAGCTGCTGCACCACACAGCTAGAGTTCGTTTCAATATTAATTCTGGAACCTCATTTTCAGCAGATAATCGAATTACTCTTTAATGACAAGCACAGCGCCTGTGCCTTCCCTGGGAGCGGGCTTGGGCGGGTGTAAGGGCAGAGTCAGGAAGGGGCTGTGTGGCACCACTGGGGCCTGGCGAGTCCCTCAGCTTCTAGCACCACAGACTCAGTATGGGCCGTCACCACGCTGGGCCCAGGGAATGGAGCTCCTGTGTCACATCTGCTGGCCATGAGCCTCTGTCCAGGTGACCCACTCGCCCGCCACCAAGTAGTTCCTGCAGGTGTCCCTTTGAGCTCTGCTTCCTGTGGAGAGATGTTCCCTCCCAATAGCTACCTTTCTTCCAAGCCCAGAAATTGTCAAAAAGGCACCCTGTTTCCACTAAAATAAAATAAAAAGGGCCACATCAGGAGCCATTCTACATACTTTTTGGGAAAAGTCATTTCACAATTAAATTATGATCAGGCCTCTCGTCTTCTTGCCTACAGGTGGGCTGTGACATGCCAAAACATAACTCCATTTTTGCCTCTGGTCACAGCTGAGACCTCAACGGTCCTGTGATGCTGTGACTCTCAAGGACAAGATTACATCTGCTGAAGACACCCTGGTTCCCTGAGAACTGAATAGTAAGGTTTAACCTGGGGAGGGACAAATTTCTCATCTGCTTAACTCATCCCACCTCCGGTTGTAAGAAAGTCTTTATCTTACCATCCTAACCCACATAAACTTCTCATTGACTTTAGGTCCTTATCAGCATAAGATCCTCAGGGTCATTGGATTACTGTCACTCTCCCAGGCATCTGATACGTCCTCTGATTATAAGATCCTTGCCAATTTAGGATTATCATCCCCCTTACGTCATCTGTTACTCCCCATTAACCCAATAAATAGTGGCAAGCTCAGAGCGCCTTGATCAGGCCCAGAACTCAGATTCTTCTCTAAGCCTCATTTCCTGTCTTTATTCTTTAATTTGTCCTGTGCTGTGGTGGCTCACAGGAGGCCAGGACCCACTGCATGGGTTCTGGTTACATCCCCTTTCCTGTTGCCTACAAGGTCAGACTGGACAGGTACAGCCATCGTGCTGGGACCAGGCTGCAGAGAGCTCTGGAATGAGGGGCAGGATTCCAGTCCAAGTCCTCTAGGACCCACAGCGCTGCCCAACACACAGTAGCTACAGAAAGAGACGGTGGACTGAAGTCTTCCCTCCTTGGACACCGCCTCTGGGGTGGCTTTGTGAGGGGGCATGGCCCGTCGTCCGGCTCACTTCTTAGAGCCTCCACCTCCTGGTCACCACTGGCTGGGTATCCAGGATGTTTAGCCCAGGGTGAGGGCTAGAGGTGGTCTCCCAGGTGCTGTGTCCTGGCCACTGCCCGGTTTGACCCAGGGACAGTCCCTGGCCCTCTGATCACCAAGTACATGTGACTGGGATGTTTTAATGGGCACAGACCAGACTCTGGCTCTCTGGCCGCCAGCTGAGGAGGGTGAGCACCCACTGCACACACCACCCTGGCCCTGGCTGAGGAGGGAGCTCCCCGGGCTGGGTGATCCCAGAACGGCCTCGGAAGGGATGGGCACAGATGGTGACAGTGGCCTGGCACAGCTCTGCCCTCAGCGTCCCTGTCCACATGACCAGCCTGAAGCACCATCTTCAGCTTCCTCCTCCGCGACCTCTGCGCGGAGCCGCCCTTCCCCTGCTGGTGCACAATGCAGCCCAGAGCGGATGGCAGCCCCAGCCCGGCCACCTCCCGCCTGCCTCTCGCATGGAAGTGGGGAGACGGCCAGACAGACGTCCGCCATGCTGGCCTGGACAGGCAGACAGACTCGGGGCCACGTCCTCACCAGTGCCCGAGCACCCGGGACAAAGGCGTCTTCGAGGTGTCACTCGGCGCCTCCCGGCCCTGGGTCCTCCAGGGACAGAATCACATCTGGTTTCTGTCTCTCCCTCCCTTCTGTGGTCACTGGAGGGGGACAGCCAGCAGGGACCCCATGTTTGGAAGGGACACCCCTGAGCCGTGGGGCAGCAAACTCACTGCTGTGGGCCGAGAAGAAACTGTCCCTAAAGGGAGCGGCTGCCGCCCAGCACCTTCCAGGGCCCTCCCCTGTGTCCCCCTATGTCCCTGGGGCTCTGGGACACCCCACGCTTCACCCAGCTCTTCCTTCCTCAGTGCCTGCTTTGAGCAGATGCTTGTGGGGCTCCCCAGGGAGAAGGGCAGTGATGGCACTCATGGGGCGTCTCCTGGGGGACCCTGGGGTGGTCTGGCTCAGGAGCACGGTCACTGGTGTCCTCTCGGGCCTGGGCTCTCTGGGTGTGATGGGAGCCACGGGAGGTTCTGAGCAGGGGCGTGAGGTCAGATCTGAGGTCCAAACTCCCTGTGGCTGCATGGAGACCAGAGCCTGGGCAGCTGGAGCAGGAGCCCGGGAGGCCCCACAGACGAGAGCCGCTGTCCCCCGCCTGGTGTCGGCCTGAAGTCAGAGCCAGGGCAACAGACACAGCCCTGCCCGCCTCCGCTCTGCAGCCAGGCCCTGTGCCCACTGCCCTGGTCTGAACCACCCAGAGCGGGCACAGCCCTGTGCTGTGACAGCCTCCACCAGCCCACTGGGGCCGGGAGAGGAGGCCCAGCCTCGTGTTGGAGCCCTCGGCCCACGGTGACTGCAGTGGGTGAGAGAGGAGCCCCTTCCCAGCGGGGGATTCTCAGCCCGAATCCAGCTGCTCCTCCACACTTGTCCAGCACCGGGTCCTGGCCTCCCAGGCAGGAGAGGCCGGAGGATGCTGCGTGTCTAAGAGCCTTCCGGAGTCTCCTGCTGACCCCAGGAGAAGAAGGGAGTTGGTCCTACGCCCTGACATTCCCAGACTCTGTAGAAGGAGAGCAGAAAAGCTAAAAAGCCATAATCCCTACCCTTAAGGAGACTTAGTTTCCCCTCCTGCTAGATGGACTCAGAAAGAAGACAAGCATTACTCACGGGCAGATGGCGAGAGGATTCCCCTGTGCTTGCGGCCTGAGATCAGTGGCCTTTGGTCAGTGGCCATCGGGCTTCCCTGCCTACCGCGGTCACTCATCGGTGACAGCCCCGATCTGTGGGCAGACAGACAGACCTGAGGCCACTTCCTCTCTTCCCTGTCACTCTCGGGGCTCTCCGTCATCTCTGAAAATACCTCACTGACGTTTACATTCTCCATTTTCCCAGCAGAGTGTGAGCCCACAGGAGCAGGGTCTTTCCAGTCTGTCTACTGCTGGATCCCCAGGTCTGCGGCCATCCTGGTTCATAGTCAGGCGGTGAACGTTTTTCTTCAGTGAAAGAGCGAATTTGGAAAGTGAATGAACAAAGGGATAGACAGGCTTCGCATGGCTCTGGCCCTGCTCCCTGGGCCGTCCCTGTCCTTTCCCGCTCACCTTTCTGGCCACCTCCGCTGCAGGTGCCATTCCCACAACCCCCGAGGATGCTTCGGCCAAAGCACCGGCTCTCTGTACCACACTGATCTCCCCAGGGACACCTCACACATGCCCAGCTCCTCTGTCAGGTCCCTGGCTAAATGCCACCCTCTCGGACCCTCCCTGACTGCCCCGTCCAAAGTGCAAGCCATCCCCACCACCCCATTTCCTATCTGCCTCTCTGCTTTGTGCTTTGTTTTTCCACAGAGCTTAGCTCAGCATCCTTTGGTAAATTGATTCTCCTGCTTTGCTGGTTGTCTCACTCCTGGCAGGAAGGCAGCGCCAAGGACAGGGATGGTGGTCTGACTCTTCCCCACTGTCTCCCCAGCACCTGAAACAGCGGGTGCCTGGTGCTTAGCAGGTGCTCAGTAAATATTTCCTCAGTGGGTGAGGAAATCTGAGGGGAGATGAAGAAGCTTCCCCAGGGATAGTGGAGGGGACTTTCTGGGGGTGGGGAGCTGATGTGGGACCTTCGGAGAGAGTGTTCCTGGCAGAAATTCCAGATAGGACCAAGCACCAAAAACCCAATGTGGTCTTCAGGCAGGGAGGAGGCGTTCCTAGGCTCCCTCTTGTTTTTTATTTTTGTTTTTCGTGTTTTCCAAAGTGCTTAGATCTTGGGCCGGCTAGTGACAGTTCTTGGGCAATTAATTCAATGTTTTATTCATCTCTCGATGCCTTAAAGCTGCAAATCAAACTGGGTGCTTTGCTAATCACGTTCCGTGCTCCCTGTGCTGCAAATAACCGTGCTCTTCTGCATGCCAAGCAGACCTTCCTCTGTCTCAGGAGAAAGACTTTCTTCTGGCGTTCATTGCTCTAATTGCATCTGCGGAAAGTCAGATCAAATATGTTTCCATCCCGATTTGCATTATGCAAAACCTTAGTCTCCACAAGTTTTCTAAATCACTGTGAATGATTCACAGCCTCCTGATGCCAGGAAATGCACCGTTTGATCTGCCAATCCATGTAAACTAGATTTATCGGGGGGGGGCAATGAAGGAGCCTTGATACTATAAACTCTTAGGAAATAACCAGCCATTGTGCATGTGTGTCCCATAAATTCTTTACTTAGGAGAAAAACAAGGCTGCTGACCAAGCACAGGTTGCTGAATTTATGTCCTCACTGTAATTACCAAGATGAGGAGGACGGTGGACTTCAGCGTCTATGCTGTCTGGGGTGGGGCTGGCCAGGCCCCCACACTCAGGCCAAGAGGGTGGGAAGGCCTGGAGGGCGAGCCGGGCAGCAGGATGTCCGGGCTAAGGTGGGAGCCTGAGCATAAACACACAGCCGACTCTGTCTCTGTTGGCTTTGAGACACCAAGCAGGTCATTGAGCTCAGAGCTTTTGTTCCTTCAGCAGACACTGGGAGCATACAGGTTAGCAGAACTTCCATTATCAGGGTTAGACGGGTCCCCTGTGGACGCCTTTTGGGGTACCCACTCTGTGCTGGGCCCTGGCTTGTGCTCTTAGAGACAGTGGGGACAAAAAGGCAGCCCAGCCCCTGCTCCCAGCCATCTCTGAGGCAACAGGTCAGAGAGCAGCTCTGAGGCCCAGGAGAGCTCAGATGGCTCAGGTAAGGTGATCATTAACTTTTTCATACAAGCCACTTCTAGCTGGGTTTTCTGTTACTTGGACCCTACAGCACCCACCTGGCTGTACCCATGGCCCTTCCATTTGGTGAGTGAAGGCTTTATAATCTATAAGCACCAGGAGTGTGTACCACCCAAATCCCTGCAAGGTGCAGCTACGACCCCCATTTACAGGGAGGAGCACTGAGACCAAGGAACAGGGGCGACGGCTTGCCCAGTGTTAGACCCACAAGCCCTGGCCCTGTGCAGTGCTCCCTGCCCCCAACTATATCCAAGAGGCCTTTGCAATTCTGTAATGTCAGTGCCTCATCACCATCACGTCCTAGTCTCCCCATTACAATGATTTCCTAAATTAAAGAACTGCATGATAAACGTTCCTTGTTGACGTCACATGCCTCACCTGGGGACAAAGAGCACATGTCCCATGGCACAAATCACTTCTTTAGATTAGATCTCAGAGGTGCAGGATATAGAAGAATCGGGATGAGTGAGTTAGGGGCACAATCACATCATGGTGCCAGGTGAACTTTCATTCATTTGTCCATCCTTTCGGTGCATATTGATGGTGTGTTCAGTGCTGGACACTTGCTATGTCCTGGAGCCACAGCAGTGGGCCAGCCATGGCCCCTGCCCTCTGAAGCTGGCTTTCTAGGGAGCAGACCAGAATAGCAGTCATGTGAGCAGGTTAGAGATTTGATAAGAGCTTTAATGGTAATAACACCAAGAATGTGGCAGAGAAGCATCCAAGCTTGGGTTCCCGGAGACCTGGGCCAAGGTCAAGGGAAGATGTTTGTTGGGAAGGCAATCCAGGCTGTAAGGGCGTCTGTCGTTATCGATTGAGTGACTGCACTGGAGCGGGAGGGATCTGCAGTGTTT